CAAGACCAGGGACCTGCTCAACAGCCTGTAGGATATTTGAGCCATAAATTAGATAGTATAGCAAAGGGATGGCCTGTGTGTCTTAGAGCTACGGCTACAGTAGCTTTCCTGGTACCAGAGAAGTGTATTACAGGTATCTGAGGATGCATATTTTCAGAGTGGATTTAAATAGAGCCTAGCCAGCACTGCTACAGAGGAAAGTTACCTAGGTGACTAATACAGAATGTTCCCAAAATGTCCCAAAGACCTTTTTAGCTCTTTGGATAGTCCGAGATTTCTTCTAGACTATCACCTGTCTCTATGTGTCCCTGCGGGTGATAGATCTCTTTAGCAGGCTCAGATTTTAGAACCTTTTGATTCAGCATCATTTATTAGAAAGTAAGCCCTAAACAATACAGTTATAATACTTTCATTTTTCTCTCCCACTCTCTTTCAAGAAGCAAAAAAAGACCCATTCAGGTTCTTTGATTATTAGTTTAATTTTCTGTTTGACAACACAGTTGGAGTCAACCATAGCTTTTGCCTCTGAAAGCATGTTTTGCTAAAGATTAGAGGTCCACTCTGGGAAAGCTCTTGATCTTAATTGTCTTTCTGTACCTGAAATCGTTAGGATTTAGTTCTTGTGCCATACTTAAAGTCACTCTTCTATCCTTTCTCCACTGCCCTGCCCCTGAGTAGTAACACAGTTTTCAACAGTGTTTGGTCCAAGGCAATTCTCTCCTCTGTGGCTGCTAGATTTCAGGACTAAGTTTCCTGAATGGTGAGTTTCCCCTCCCTGGAATCCTTCCAAAATGAAACTGACCTTCACTTAACTCTGGGCCATATTCAAAAACTGGTCTAGATTTAATCCTAAAACTCTCAAAGAATAAATGTAAAAGTTTTGTTCCAAGTTTATCTGCCTTTCAATCTTAGGCAGAATTAGAGATTGAATCCTATTACTTTCTTCTCCCCTCAAAATTATGGTGCTGATGGGTTTCTGTAGCACAAGGCAGATTGACTGATTTTTATAACATAGCTAAGTTCATTGATAGAACAAAACCTTCTTAGGAAACTTTATGAGTTAACACTTTTAAACAAAACAGGTATTAAAGAATAGGCACAGGCCCAATCCCCAGAGAACTGCCTCTCTCATAATTTCTCTCAAGGATATCTTGCTAGGCCAGCCACTAGTCTCTGTGCTAATTGAGGCTCTAAAAAGAAAGGCCTATAGCTAAGTACGGTCCAAGGATTGCAGGAAAAATGGAAAAAAACTGTCAGAGGTAGACATCTGCAGCAGGGTAGATTAGAGCCTTAGCAGGCCTTCTTCCCCCACTTAGTAGAATACATTCTTAGCTCCAAAGAGTGTCACTTACTCTCTTTCAACACCCAAACCTGGCCTATGCATCCACCCCTAGAAATAGTTAAAATTACCTTTTAACAGTTTCCCCCCCTACAGGGATCAGTTACATGTGGCTATCAAAACAGCAGTTTTAGCTATCAACAACTATGGCTATCAAAACAACAAGGAAAAGCCTATGTAGCTAGATATCCCAATCAGATAAACCATCAGATTAGGGCCCATCTTAAAAACTGTCTTTGCTTTCACAAGTGTAAAGGTTTTTATTCCTCCTGATTCTTTTTTTTTCTTTTTCTTTCATAGTAATTTTTATTATATATACTCAGCTCAGTACCCATAGCCTTGCTCATGTAAGACGGCTGTTCACAAGTATAAACAATGGATATCACTGTATATTATACATCAGATGAAACATCATTCACTACCTGCTGAATTAATTTCTTTTAAAACTTCAATATATAGCCCATGGACCCAAATTTGATCCCCAGTACCAAAAAAAACTTCAATATATAATTTTATAATCAGATACTTGATTACGGTCAATTTTAAGCCACCATAATATTCAAGAAGGGTTGTATACTTAAATTTAAATTTGTAACTTATTTCAATGCTATTTTCAAACATTACTTTTTTGTTTGTTTTTGTTTTTGGGCTACCAGGGATCGAACTCAGGACTTTGCACTTGTGAGGCAGGCACAGCACTACTGAGCTAAATCCCCAGCCCTTCAAACACTACTTTCTATATGTTCACATTTACATGAAAGAAAACATCAATGATCCAAATGCAAATCAGAACTCTAGGCCTTAGAGTTGTAGTATTTTAAGATAATTGAATAATTAGAAAGCCACTACAAATCAGCTGTTAAGTGATGAATAGCCTCCTTCATTTTAGAATAACTTTAAAAAACATATAAAGTAGATAATATACCTTTAAAATAGTAAAGATTTTTTACCTTTGCTTACAAATTTTACTATTTTTTGGGTTAATACAGATAGCATGCTACTTAATCTCACTCTTTTCACTTTGTGTCTACAAAAAATAAAACTGTCCTTAATCTTCCTAAAGTCTTTGTTTTGCAAATAAAGACATTATTACTCTTATATGGTAAGAAGTTACTGAATCAGTTTTAAAGTCAGTGACAAAAATCACATATTATGGTAAAAGATGATGTAACAAATTCAGTGTTAGATAAGGAATCAGCACAGTACAGCAGACATATATATATATATATATATATGGGAGAATATATATATATGAGGTAGAATATATATATATATATGAGGTAGAATTCTTAATCACAATTTTATAGAAAAGATGCAGTAGTTTGTATCTGTACCCTGCTTTATTAGTTATGGTACAACAAGTTTGCTTATGAATTTAACAGAAAGGGCAAAAGGGAGGTCTCTCCATAAGCAGTGATCTTACTGTCTCTTGTTTTCCGTGTGTTACAGGGACTTCTAGCAACCCAAAGCATTTTCTTGGCCAATTACGGTAACTGCTCATATACAATATTAATCTCATTTTTAAACAGACTCTAGGGAAGTAGAAATTTACATTTTTCTCCCAAGGACCTTAAGGAAGAGACAAATGTCTCTCTCTGTACCACTCTGAGCATAAATTACAAATGATATCACATTTCTCTGGATATCATTATTGCTCTTCAAGATCTCCATCAATATACAGGTGGGTTCTATACCCAAATTTTTTTTTTGGTACCAGAGATCAAACTCAGAACTTTGAGCTTGTGAGGCAGGCTGCAGCACCACTGAGCTAAATCCCTGGCCCTATACCCAAATTTTTAATTTGATTGTTTCTAACTCACAGTGCGTATTATAAATGGATATAACTTTAAAATTATTTCATTCATGATGAAGTTAAATTACTGTTTCTTTAAGATTCTAAAGATTGCAGTAAACTAGGGTTGCAGAGAGTTTCATGTGTACATGGCTTATTTCCATGTTAGGTGTTTATAATTTGAGTCTCTGTTTCTAATCTTTCAATGCCAATAAATTGATCAGAAAGATCATTTTATGGAAGTTATATTTATACCCAAGGCTAAACTTTATAGTGGGGCTTACATGTCATAAATGGTTCCTGAATAGTTATAAAAGATATTTCAAAATGGTAATTATAGAAAATAAAGTCAAATACAGTATTTTTTTGGTTAACTGGAAATTCCTCTTACGATTTATTTTAGGATTGGGAGGTAATAATGAGGATATCAGATTGCAGATTTTTATAGTTCTACTTAAGTAAACTTTATTTTGTTTGTTTTTTTGTTTGTTTATTTGTTTGGTACTGGAGATAGAACTCTGGACCTTGCACTTTCGAGGCAGGTGGTGAAACCACTGAGCTAAATCCCCGGCCCTAAGTAAACTTTATTTTGTTTTGTTTTGTTTTGTTTTGTTTTGTAAACTTTATTTTGAATCAGCTGTTCTCCTTTACCTCAATTCTCTTTGTATCTAATAATTTTGAGAACTCAGAAAAAAAAAGATTTATTTGCACTAGGTCTAGATCCTTTGAGCAGAATTTCCTTCACAACTGCTGGTAATGTGTTATCAAAGTCAGTAATCATGTTAAAACGTGCATAACGCTTTTGAAAGATAATATAAAAACAAATTTATTTTATCTCATATTTAATTTTAAAATACTATACTTTAGCTATTGTGGATGAGTTTCTTTACAATGATACTTTGGTTTTTTTTTTGTACCGGGGATCGAACTGAGGTCCTTGCACTTGCAAGGCAGGCTGCAGAACCACTGAGCTAAATCCCCGGCCACTACTTTAGCTATTGTGACTGAATGCATCCTTATGGAAATTGAGCAACCTTTATTTATATATCCTCAATTCAGAAAACTTTTAATTATATATTTTCATTTCAAAAAGAAAACTTGTCCTAATTTGATGAGAAAGTATGCCTTTGAAGTTTGAAGAATTAAGAAAATATCAGCTTTTGGGAATGTAGGCTAAGGACATGAAATAAATACTCTTTGCTAATATTTCACATTGAAATATATTTGGTATCAAAAATCTCAAAAATGTTATTTTATTTCAAAGGTATCTATCTTTTGGAAGAGGTACATATGTAAATAGAAAAAAGTTGATATATTTAATCCATAATTACATAGTTCTGTTGATTTATAACTTGATATATCAAAAATTTCTACAATTAATTTGTAATTGCCACCATTACAAAGAAGTATCTGAGTAAAAGCAGATTGTATGGCATTGCATTTAGGCCCAGTGTTAATTCATTTAATTCACAAGTGATATTTATAAAATGTTTTCAAACTTAGACAAATGCAGTTATTAATATGGATTAATTCAATTAAACTTAACATTTTATAAAATATTCCTGTTATACATTTAAATATAACTGGATCAATAAAGTAACTTGCGCAGAAAGTATAGACTTTTACAGTAAAATTATACTTGTTTTACACTTACTGAGGATGCCTGAAAACATTTTAGAAAAGACTAATGGTCTTGACTATTAACAGTAACAACTTATTGCATTTTTTCTGCCTTTTTTTCAATTTTGTTAAGTAGTTGGGGGTTAAGTTCTACTTTTCCTTTACTTCAAATAGACTCTTCAGCATATAAACTTGAATGACTAACACCACCACCATGACAACTAAATTAACCATAAACCAGAAATTGATTCTATCAAAGTTGTTTTCTTGTATGTTTCAATCACGAGCTTCAAATGCTCTAAGTAGAGTTTGTATATGAACACTGTTGCTTACTCTGGACTTGATGCTGTTGATGGATTCCAGGATGTTGTCCAGTTTCATCTCCAACATATCTGTACCAGTAATATATTTCTTCCAGTCTTCTTGTTCTTGTGCCTGTTCTCCCATATTATCCAGGATTAATTCAAAGAAAATTACTTTCTCAGAAATGGTGCTGAATGTACTGTCAAAGCAGAACATGTAATCACCAACTTCAGTTTCTACAGTGTGAACTCCATCTGATTTTCTTTGTTCAAAAACTAAAGTTTTGCCTTCTGGGGAGGCAAGATGGAAATCAATATCTAATCCTGCTCCATTTAAAACTTGGTACTCGATCTCCAGGGAGGCCTTCAGTGGCATGGGCTGGTAGAAACACTCCTTCTGGCCGGCTGGAAGGGTAAAGGTAAAGTTGCTGTCTAAGGAAGACATGAAGCCAGCTGCCCCCGGCAGCAGCCTTAGGGGCAAAGTGACCAGGAGGAACAAGGGGAAGGGCAGCCAGATTTTGCCACCCATCCTAGCTAGGGAAATATTGGGCTGAAGGCCGTGTGGAGATGTGGGACACTGAAGCTTCAGATCCACTTATCCTCCCTGAACTCCTTGCATATCCTCCTGATTCTTATTATAAGAGATCTGTGTTAATTGACCCACAAAGAGTTCTGACTAGTCTTATTTGTAGTTACAAACTATAAAAAGTTTATTATAATTTGACTTGGCTAAATACATCTGACTGGGCTCTGGTTTTATGAACAAATTGTCTTATGTGTGTTTGCCCATCTGTCTGTCCAATCTGTCTGTCCAATCTGTCTTATAGCTGTTTTGTTTAAGCTCAACAGGTTTTTTTTCTTTTCATCTTTTTTGGATTTTTAAAATATTTGTCTATATCTTAAGTTAGCTTACAGATTAAGTGCCATTAGAGTGAAAGATGCACTTCCCCTCCAGGTTGCCAGCTGATCAAAATGATGTCAAGATAGGTTTTATGAATGCAATGCATATTGTTGTTTGTGTACAATAACTTGGGATTATTTCATTAGTCAAGAATAATGTGTTAATTGTTATGATCTGGTTCTCATAGGACATCTAAAAAATTTTGTTAAAATAATTAAATGGGGATCCTTAGGCTTATAGGAACTGCTGGACAAGATTCCCCTTGGTGAATAAAGGAGTAGCTGCCTGGTAATATTTTGTTCCAGTCTTTGTTCACAAAGGGGACCCCAATAGTTTCCATAGCCTTATGGGAGACACACCCCAGCAAACATTGCTAAACATATTATTGTGATATGTTTACACTGATCATCATCAAAAGGTTAAGTTCTCTGCAGGAAAAACAATAAGGTTTTATTAAAAAATGCTGTTGGTACAAAATTAAATTAAAAAGGGCAAAGTTTTCATATAGCTATGATACTCATTTTTGCTAATTTCATGGTGTACTAAATGTATTCATGCCTTCAGGGTATACAGGTCTTCTAAGATATAAATCAGAATTGTTTATGGTGATAACCTTTTTTATACTCAGATATCTGTCTTTCTCTTGTGTTCCAGCTACTTATGGTATGAGGTAAATGTCAAACCAACATGAGACTCCCAGTCAAATGATAGTTTTTTAAACTTATGTGATGTATATGTTATATATGTGTCACTACACTTAGACATGCTCAGGTACTAAACAGTCCAGACAATATCACACACTAAAATTAGAAGCTAAACATCATAAGCTTCTAAGGTACATTTATAGGCCAGTATGTTCTTCTTAGATGACATCCTATTAAAGGATAACAAGTTAGGTGAGAGTTTCTTATGTCATTTAATATCTTGTGATCAGATGGAGATGTTTGACTAAAATGGCTACTTTATACTAAGATGAACATTTAAATGTGTTGCAAAGATAATGTCATCATGATTGTCATGCTAAAATATTATATGTGGCTATTGATCTTAAGTTTTCTGTATAAAACTATTAAACTTTGTTAACATTCTGTAGGGATTCAACTACTAAAACAACCATAGTTGATAAGCAATAATAGTCTTCTGGCTGTGTTTTATATTTCAAGGAGTTTAATATCCAGATAAAATTATAATAGTTAAGCTCACTGTCCCCACTGCAATACTAATGTCACTGATCTTTTCTGAGTGTTCAAGTTGTTGAACTAGAACTAGAACTAGAAAGGTAACTGGGCTAAGAGGACAGCCAATATTTTGTCCCGGGTCCCCTAAATCAGCGAGGACCCAGGACATGAGGGAATCTTTTCTACAGGATCCACAACCTCCCTAACAGGGACATTGCTGGACCCCAGAAGACAAGAATCAACAGGTGTAAAGGATGCCAAAGGTGGATCATCAAGATGGAAAAGTCTCCCATGCTTTCACAGAAGGCAACATGGTCAAGCAAGACTGACCCATCCTGACAGCTGACACTGACAGAGGAACTAAGAGGCTCTACACATGGTTCCAAAGTAATGCCTGAGGAGACTTAACTGAACATGATAGACAGCAAGAGGTTAATTTTGATTGACACAGGTCTCACTTTCACTTGATCTTAAACACCCAGTAGAAAAGTATAACTGGTTTCCCGCTATACTGGTAGCTGACCACTGGGATGAGTCATTAAGAAAAAAAATTACAGTAGAATCTATAAAAGCTCAACAAGAATCTTTATATTTCTTAGCTAAAATTGTCCTTCAAAACCACCAAACTCTCCATCTTCTTACCACTAAAAACTAGAGAGACTTATGACAAAAATATCAGACTTATAGATAACCTCCATCAGTAAAGGGTTCTAAGACCCAGTGCATTACAATCACTATTCCAGTCCCTTAAAAACAGTTTATAGATGTGGCTCTTTCCCCAACTTGCTTTTCCATTCTAGGGCTCATGTTTTAATTATACATGCTCTAATTTCTTGGAAAATTTGTTTAGCCTTGCCTAGAGGCTGCCAAATTCCATGCAGATGGAACCAACAACAAATATGCTATACTCCTTTTACTGGGATCCACCAGATCAGCCTTATACAGAAAGTTCATAACTGCTAAACTACAGCATGACTTTTAACTGAGGCCCATTAGCTTAACTCTCTGGAGAGGGTGCCTGACTGCGGTCTTCCCTACATTGACTCTTCTCAACTCAAAGCAGTTAGATGGAAATTATGCCCTTTCTCTCCTAACTGCAGTTAGGGGTAGTTCTTCAGAGCTGGGAGTATTATAGACAGTTAAGTTAGTTAGAAAATATTATAAGGCAGTTAGACAGGGCCTGGACCCTCAGCACAGAAGACAACTGTGGCAGGAGGCACATTCACTGAAGGCCAAGATTCAAGAAAAAGAGGAACTGCTATGCCCACATACTTTTTCTAGGAATGAACAGCAGTGATTGATGTTCTAAATAGGCATCAATCACCTTGGGTGGGGTCCAAAACCTCCCTAGCCCATTCCTTCCCAGAAAATCCTTTTTCATTTCATGTATATTTGCCATGTGACTTGCTTCCCGATTTGACTCTCATTTAATCAATATTACCTAAGTGACTATACTTGTTGTAGTCTTATTGGTTGACCAGTTTCATCCCACCTCATACCCACCTTGTGATATCTTATTAGTTGACTATAGTTTTGTCCCACTGTGAACCTACCTCATTTCATGGCTTTCCTCAATAAAACACCCTTGAGAAATGGAGTCTGTGGTGTCAGGCCTGGCCTAAACAAATGGGACAAAGCAAACAGGCTGCTTTCAGCAAACAGCAACATCTAAATAAATAGGACAAATGGACTCAAAACAAGTGTACAACCCCTGTGGTGCTGAGAAGTCCCGTGATTGTCTACATACCTGTGCAGACTGTCCTTGGATTCAATCATAAACATTTCACCCCAAATTACTTTGCCCCTTCAATACCCATATATGCCTAATTCCTTCCCCCCAGTTAGCTGCTAATATCTCTCTCCTAGTGTTAGCCCATCTACTCATAGATGAAATCTCTCCCAACTAGCTGCTGCTGTTTCTCTCTCCCAATGTCAGTCCATCCTACATGGATGTAATAAACTTGGCTTTTTCCAGCTAGCTGCTAGAATCTCCCTGACTTTAGTCCCAATCCACTAAACTTTTCCTTTCCTCACAACAAAAACGCCTATTTTAAAGAGTAGATTCATGCACACCATCTGTCTATAGCAGGTGAGTAATCCACTTTCCATGCCCTCTCTGCCTCTCTTAGACAGAAGCTATCTTTCTCTCAATAAATTCTTCCTACTCTTAATCTCCATTGTTCCTAGAATTCATTCTTTGATTTTCAGAGAACAAGAACTTGGCATTTCAGACATCTAGCAGATTGAGAGTTATATTTCCTTTATATTATTTGGAAGCCCATATATCATATGCCCTATATCACTGATACTTATTAAAAGTATGATTTATGCCACCTGCTGTGCAAACGGAAGGACCGGAGTTCGATCCCCGGTACCAAAAAAATGAAACAAACAAAAAAAGTATGATTTATGTTTTCTGCTGGGATACAGACTTAAAAGCCATTTTTACCATAAACCATGACTCTTTACTTGGGCCTGCAGGTGTCCAATAGGTAACTAAAAGCAGAACAAAGCTTGACCATTTTGTATCCTTTGTTACCATAAATCTTGGGTCAGGTCTCTTCTCAACTCTGCATAGGGACATGTTGATTATTTAAGAAGTGTCTGTCCAGGAGCTGGCTAGACAGTGTTGATTGTCCTGAACTTGCATGATCTCATCCTTCTTTAAGACTGAGAACACCAAGATAAGAGATTTATATGGACATTCAGCTACACTCAGAATCTTCCTGTCATTGTCCTGAGCCTGTGATCACCTGGATCCCAGGAAAGGTGGAGCCCCACATGACTGAGACCACCACAGACAGAGACAGTCCTTTTCTGGAGATGGAACCATGCCTCAGCCACAAGGATTCCAGAGCCTGAGATAATGATCAACTGGACATCAGCCTGCCAACTAATCCTTGAAAACTGGCCTCCCGCTTTTGCAGTAGCTGGAGTCCCTTCCTATCTTCCCTCTAACTTTCCAATTAAAACTTTTTTGCTATAAAAAATTATATATGTATTAACTTTTTATTTTACATAATTATAATTATCCTATGTGTGCATTTTATACCATTTAATGTTTATCGTAATTATTTTCCACATTTGACATAGGTTGTCATAACCATAATTTTAATGGTTGCAAAACATTACATCAGATTATAATTTAACTATTCCTCTATTACTGAACTTTAGTTTTAGATATTCCTATTTTAAGTAACAGAGCTGTGAACAACATCATGGAGATCATTTTTTAAATTTACTTCTATTAGTACATGTTTGCAGTATATAACGATTATATTTATAGTGAGGAGTTGGTACATGTATATGACACATCTTCATATTTTTGGTCCCCTACCCCTCCCATCCCTCCTTGCGCCTTTCAACTCTTGGTTCCCTTCCCATTTAAAAAAAAAAAAAAAAAATCTCTATTTCCTTTTTTTTCAATTCTTTTTCTTTATCCCCTCTTCC